AAAAAAAGAAAAGAAAGGAAAAAAAAAAACAAAAAAAACTCCTAAGTTTTAGAGATGGTGAATATGCTCATTGCCCTGATTTAAAGAATAATAATAATAATAATAATAATAATAATAATAATAATAATAATAATTGCCAGAGGGCATGTGCATGGGCCAGAGAGAGAGACCTCCTCAAGGCGGTGTGGTCACACTACAGTGTTTTTTCTTCCATTTCACCATCCTTTCAGGATCCTGGGCATGTACTCATGCATACTTCACATTTTCTTTTTCTTTTTCTTTCTTTCTTCTTCTTCTTCTTCTTTTTTTTCTTTAACCTGTGGTGTATGTGCTAGCCAAAGAAAGACAGAAAGGGGGAGAAGACACCCTTCATGGCGAATGCTCACACTGCAATCCTTTCTTCTCTGTTTCTCCATCTGTTGGGATTGGGGGGGGGGCATGCACATACACACACCCAGAACATTTTTCAAGCTGCCGGGGCTGGGACTTCAACTGCAGAGTCAGCTACTTTGTATCTGGCTGCTTTAACCACCAGGCCAAGGAAGCAGTCTCTGGTGTGTTTTCCAAGTTGCCAGTGTGGGATTCGAACCAGTCAGTTATGTGGGATCCAGCTCCCTCTACATGGTGTTTAAACTACTTTACAGCAGGGCCAGCCTGATTACCCTTAATCATTATACATTGTATACCCTACTCTAAACGTGCATATTAGGAGTATATGTAAATTAGAAATTATAATAAAAATTATTGTTAAAAAAGTAAAGTCCTGTTTTAACTTCAAATAATATTTGGTGACATAATTTTAGACTTGAATTCCATTGTTTTACTTTCCTTGGAGCCAGTCTTGTGAAGAATCCACTCTACTGACAGAGCAGTGACCAGTTTGGCATGTGACTCTTTCCAATGATCGTCCCATAACCGGGACAACCTCTATTCCTGGAAGAGGATTTTGAGATCCTCTAAAGAAACGCACTTCTGCAGCATATGGGGTCACTGCTACTTGGCCAGCTCTTCCCTTGCTCTGGTGCTGGCATTAAGCCAGTCCTGAAAAGTCCACTCAGCTGTTCTAGGTTTTCCCAGCAAAGCCACCTGGGCAAGAAAGGAGAGGCCCAGACAGGTTGGAAATGGAAATTGTTCCAGCCCTTTTCTGGGACTGGGTGGAGCAGGACAGACCCACAGGGGCAGGGCAGTGGGGAGGAGTCTCCTCTAGCCTGGGTGGAACCCTGGGTACCCTGGCTCTATCTGATCGTCTCCCTGCCCTGGGGTGATTGAGGGCTGGGCTTACAGCAATGGTCACTTTCCAGAGTGGCCCAGAGGATGGCATGGCCCCAGTAGGCCAGGGCATTGTGAGAAGGATGACACTAACCCCCAGTGTGGAGCTCGTACTCAGTGAAAGCAAGGTCGCTCAGTGACCCTATTGCACACACACAACTATGTGCCTCCTGACCACAGGTCTTGGGCCAAGGGACTGCTACCTCTTCCTGCCACTGTGCAGCACAGGTGAAAATGCTCGGGGTCATAGGACATTTGAGATTAGGTCTCTTGCAGGAACGATGGCTAGCTTGAACATGCCAGGTCAGACTGACCTTGGCCTCAAGGTGACCTGAACTTCAGTGTTGAGGAGAGTGTGAGTGGGGGGAGTACCGTAGGGACTGGTACTCATCCCCATGCTGCTGGACAGCCACATTCCCATGGAAATGGACCCATCCCGCCCTCACTCCCCATCACCCAAGGGCTAAATCCTGCTGTGCCCAGGGTGCCTGCGCCAGCCTCACAGATCCACCGGCCTTCCCTGTTCTTTGGCCACTCCTTGCCTATGCGTGGCTTGAATGCTCTTCCTCCATCTGCTTCTCTGCCCAGTGAACTCCTTGCTGGCTGACAAAACTTGTTCCAACGTCACCTCCCTGTGAAGCCTGCTGGTTTCCTCTTCTGATAGCTGCTTAGGGCTGCTCTCTTTTGCCTCCTTGCTGTAGAAAGAGCACATGTTACTCACTGCACTGGAATCTTCGTGCTCACAGCTCTCGACCCTGTGTGAGGCTCTGATCTCCCTGGCCCAGCTGGGACTTGGACTTCTCAGGATTGCTGGGAGGCAGGGCCATGCAGCTGGAACACTGAGTTCCCCTTCAGCTCCTGGTGGTTCCCCAGGGTGGGCTGCCAACCAAGGAGAAAGGGTGCAGGGTAGGGTGCGCAAATCACCACTCATGGCCTGTCTCAGTTCACTCCTGCCTGCTCTGGCTCCTCTCTGAGGCTATGGACTTCATTATCTACCGGCCTAGTGCTGAGTCACTGATCACCCCTGGTCTAGCACTGGCTTAGTACTTCCTTGCCAAGTCAGCCAATCTGTTCTGATTGCCAGCAGTTGAGCCAGGCTGCCTTCACTGGGCTGACTGGTGCTGCTTCCTCCCTGCCAGGCCTCAGGGTAGGAGGGGGTGGGAGGAGGAGGACAGCACAGGAGAAGGTAGAGAGGTCGGGTTGGGCCTGGGAGTAGCAAGGCCACTGCACTGCCCAGAGCAGTGGTTCTCAGCAGTGAGTATGGGGAGAGAGCGGGGGCCATTTGGCAATGTCTGGAGACATCTTTTGCTGTCACAACTGACAGGGTGTGACAGACATCTAATGGATAGAGGTTAGGATGCTGCTAGGATCCTACCATGCACAGGACAGCCCCACAAGAGTAATCCTGCCCAGAGGGTCAGCAGTGCTGAGGGTGAGAACCTCTGCTTCAGAGAGAAGAGGCTGGGGCCGGCTGCCCTGGGGGGGCACCACATGTTTGAGAGGTGGGCTTGAGTGGGCTTCCTAGACTTGAGAGAATGAGTCCTTCTCAAGGTACAGCTGCTACCTTCTCTGCTCCTTCCGGGGTCCTCACAGGGAGCCACAGTCCCTCCTGAATTGACCCTGTCCCTCACTGCCACTCCCAACTCCCCAGTAGCCGCTGGGGATTGTCTCCTACAGCCAGTGGATATTAGACGGCGAGACCATCTTCTGACTTTCATTTGTTTTGTTTTGTTCCACGTCAGCCCACAGTTTTAGGTGAAGAAGAGGACAAAGAACTTGTCGCTTTTATTTTATTTATTAATTTTTTTAATTGCCAGAGGGCATGTGTGCTTGCCGAAGAGAGGGAGAAAAAGCACCCCTCCAGCGGGGTTTAGTCATACTGTAATCCCTTCTCCTCCATTTCTTTTTTCTTTTTCTTTTTTTTGGAGAGATTTTTGCTAAAGGGTGTGTGCACTTACCAGAAAGACAAAGAGAGACAGAGAGACAGAAAGTGAGAAATCACCCCCCCCCAGGGGGGATGGCCACACCACAATCCCTTCTCCTCTCGGGATCTTGGGCACACACACACACGCGCCTGGCGTGAGTTTAAGCCACCGGGTCCAGGACTCGAACTGCAGTCGACTATGTGGGAGTCCAGCGACATAGCCATTACACTAACTGCTGATCCCTCCATTTCTTCATCCTGCTAGGATTTAGGGCATGCTCATACACATATACAGCATGTTTTTCAAGTTGCTGAGGCCCAGCTTTGAACCACAGTTACCATGTGGAATCCAGCTCCCTTAACCAGTAGGCTACGGGACTGGCCTGTTACCTGTGTCTTAAAAACACTATATATGAGAGGACTTCAAAAAGTTTATGAAAACATGGATTCAAGTTTGAATTAATCTTGGTGCAAAAAATATTTGAAGCCCACTTATATTTTGTTTGTTCAATTTTTGTAGAGAGATTTTTGCCATAGGGCATGTGCACTCGCCAGAGAGACAGAGAGAGAGAAACAGAAAGCGAGAAATCACCCCACAGGGGCATAGCCACTCTGCAATCCCTTCTCCTCCATTCTCCTCTCAGGATTTTGGGCACACCTGAACCATGGTCAGCCATGTGACAGTCCAGGGACACAACCATTATGCTATCTGCTGGTCCCTGTTCGTTTTTCATTGCCAGAGGGCACGTTCACTCACCACTCCAATGGGCAGTGGTCATGCCACAAACCACCTTCCTCCATTACTCCAACTTGTCAGGATTTGGGGCCTGCATGTACACATGCCCAGTGTGTTTTCCAAGCTGCCAGGGCCAGAACTCAAACTGCAATCAGCCACATGGAGTCTGGGTCCTCACACACAGCACTTAGCTCCTGCATAATGGGTCAGCATGCGTAAGTTTTCCATAGGACGCGTTTTCCATGAACTTTTGAAGACTCCTCATATAAAAGAACATTTTCCCCTTTCATCTTTATGTAATAAGAATATTCGCTACTATGGACCCATCACTCATTTTGTACCAAGAACTTTCATGCACATTATATGACTTCATCATTATAACAACTCAACTGGATAGGTATTATTATTTCTCTTGGAAAAACCAAACCAAAACAAAACACAGAGGTCCAGACTGGTTCCATAATTCGCCCAAGTCACAGAGGTGAAAAGGAACAGTGCTGAGATTAGAACCAAGTCTTTGACCCCTAAATCTGTTATTAGGAAACTCCCGAAGATTTCTCCTACAGGAAGTTGGCGTCATAGAGAACCTATTTAATTTTTTAGGTTTTTGCCATAGGTACTGTGCACTCCCAAAAGAGAGACAGAAAGAGACAGGGAGAGGGAAAGTGAGACCCCCAGCCTGAATGGACACGCAGCAATCCCCTTTCCTCCATTCCCTTCTGGGGATTGGGCACGTATGCACATGTGCTCAGTGCTATTTCCAAACTAGCATAGAGGAGCCTTTTAAATGCAGAGTGACAGACAGGCTCTTGAGGCTTCCTGAACTGTGAGGGTGGAGTGAGGGTGGCAGGAGGGAAGCCTCGCTTGGTGAACATGGGGCAGGAGCCTCTTGGACAGAGGTTATTAGAGGGCACAGCTGACTCTCATGAAGGGGTGACTAACGCTCAGCGTCTCAGTTTATGAGTCAACCTGGGCCGGGAATGGGGCAGGGTCTTAGCTCTGGGAAGGCCTGGCCAGTGCCCTACCCGGAAGTTGATTCAGCTGTCCGAACGCAAGTACGGGGGCTCCTACCAGAGAGCCTTGTTTCACCCCTCGTCTGTCCGTGCATCCATGTGTCCGTCCGGGGTGCTCTTGGGGGCTGCTGGCCCCTGCCATGGAGCCTGGAGGCTGCAGGAGGCTGGCAGTAAACAGGAAATGGTTAAGTAAGAGCAGGTGGAGCATGCCGGGTGCCGTGGCAAGGCAGGAAATAGCTGAGCCGCTGAATGGACTCAAAAGAATGCTGTGCGTGCTCCCTGAGGCCCTGGCAAAGCCAAGCACAGTGAGATGCTCAGCCTGACCTTGACCTGATTCCCAACCCCCCCTCCTTGTCAACTCCGCTGGGTGCTAGAGTGGAGGGGCCGGAGAGACTGGGAAGTGGAGTTTCAACGGGCCAGCCCATCTCCAGGGCCTCTGATGTAAGGGGCTGCAGGAGGTGGGCAGACTCTCAAGACTCAGAGATGGCTTTCCTCTGTCCAGTTCCCTAGAAAGACCTTCGCATTGACCAGGGTTCCCAGGGGTGTTCTCTCCAGCCTGGACAGAACATCCAGCTGGGCCTGTGGTCCAGATCTGGTAAGCATGGCTGGACACACGAGTTTCTTCCCTTTTGCTCCTCACGGCAGCAGGTGTCCACCATAAGGGATGTGGCACTGTCCTCTCTGAGAGACGAGGAACCTGAGGCTGAGGAAAGCTCTGTCACTCACACAGCAAGAGGAGCTGGGGCTTGAGCCCTCTCTTCTGCCTCCACACCCCTCTCCTGCTTGTCTCTCTGCACCTCAACGATGCTCATGTTCAGATAGTTCCCTGTTTAAAGAACTCGTTTCTGCCCTGGAGTAAAACGAGTGGTGCTCGGTCTTTTCCTGACCCCCTTCTCAGAGGAACTTAACCTTAAGGGCAGTGTTCTACTCCCAGGGCTGGGGCAAGGGGGCTGCCTCCTTGCAGAGCAGGTGGTCTGGTTGCTATGGCCTTAAGTATCATAGACATCACAGTCCAAGGACCACGAGGCACCTGGCTATGAGTGCCCAGCTCAAACCATGTCAGGCAGGGATGCCCACATTGGTCACTGGAGTGGTACAGGACACTGGGGCAGGTGTGGCCTGTTCCCAGTGCTGGCTGTTGCTTGTTTCCTAGCATGTGGCTCCTGAAAGTTGCAGCTCTACAGTGGCTTCTGTGGCCTCAGTGGCTACATCTCACTGGTCAGATAGCCTTGATAGCCTAGTGGGGGTGAGAGGTCAGGGGGAGAAGCTGGGTTCACATGTTTTCTTTCATATATATATATTTTTTTTTGGGGGGGAGAGGTTTTTGCTATAGGGCGTGTGTGCTCGCCAGACAGAGAGAGACAGAGAGATAGAAAGCGAGAAACCATCCCCCAGGGGGGATGGCCATGCTGCAATCCTTTCTCCTCCATCCTCCTCTTGGGATCTTGGGCATGCACGCACACGCGCCTGGCGTGAGTTTCAAGCCACCAGGTCCAGGATGTGAACTGCGGTCGACTACGTGGGAGTCCAGAGACATAGCCATTACACTAACTGCTGGTCCCATTTCTTTATTTTTTTATATATATTTTTTTCACATGTTTTCTTGACAACAGTGGACATCAAGGGTATTTCAATCATCTATATAGTAATGTTTATTGGGTATTTATTATACTATATTTATGTATATTATTTGTACATACATTTATTTTTTAAATTTTTAAGAAATTGTTTTAGGTGTGTGTATATATATATATACACACACACACATATATATATATCGAGAGAAAGAGAGAGAGAGAGATCAATTCCACTGTCTTGGTCACTCTAGCTTTGAAGTCAGGTACTATGAGTACACCTAGTCACAATGTTTTAAAGGCCTTCTCTCTTCTATGAGGCCCTTCTCTTTTCTCTCTGTATGTGTGTGTGTGTGTGTGTGTGTGTGTGTGTGTGTGTGTATAATTTGTCAGAGGGCTCTGTGGGATCCAGCTCCCTTAACCATGGGGCCAGTTCCATATATATATTTATAGGTGTACTGATTCACTTAAACCCTACAACATCCCAGAGAAGAGGTGTTTTGATTATCCTCATTTGACAGATGAGAAACTGAGACTCAGAGAAGGAAGTAACTTCTAGTAGGTGGTAATAGTAGTGGGTCTGGTACTCTGAATTCATGCCTAGGCAGCCTGGCTCCAGACTCCACTCCCTGACCAGCACACTGTTAAGTGACGAAACTTTGGGGAAGGTTACTCTGGTTCCCTGCATGTCATTCAAGAGATTTCTATTCTTTCTAAGAGAAATTACTTTCCTCTCAGGAGCCAGAATGTTCTAAGTTTCCTTCTCTGCTAGCTGAGGTTCTGAGGTCCCTGACTAAGGACACCAAGAGAGAAGGAAACAATGATTGGATAGCTTGTCACCTCTGCAGACTAGCCAAGAGCATGGAGTCTTCCCACTACAATTGTTGTCAGGCCCTGAGGCAGGTCTGCTATTGATTTTGTTCATTCAAGAGTCCTGGTTGGCAACAACTTTTGCCAGGCCCAGGGCTGGGTGTGGGATAAGCCTGGTAAAGTAGACTATTCTGTGCCCTGGGGTGTGCTGGTGATAGAGGAAGAGACAGGTGTGTGTGTGTGTTTGATTAGATGTGGTAGATGCTAAGACAAAAGTGCACACTGGGCAAAGCATATGGAAGCAGAGAGCTGGGTGCTCAGCCCAAAGGGAGGGCAGGGAAAGTGTCCTGAAGGAGAACGTGCCTTAGCTGAGTCTGGAAGGATGATCCAAATAACCTGGAGAAGGGAAAAGGGTGGGGCTGGGCAGAGGCAGGGCCTTCCAGGCAGTATAGACAAAGGTTTGGAGACCTGACATTGCCAGGTAATAGGAGAGAACTTAATTTTATAAATGGGCAAAATATTTCAATATTATACTTCAAAGAAGAAATATAAATGGCAGATAAACACATGAGATGTATTAATCATTAAATTAAAATCAACAAGCAACCACTACATACTTTTTAGAATGATAAAATTAAAAAAAAAAAAAACACTAAAAGAAAAAACTGACAATGTCAAATACTGGGAAGGATGTGGAGCCACTGGAACTCTCCTACATTGCTGGTGGGAATGTAAAATGGTAAATTAGCCAATATGAAAAACAGTTTGGCAATTTAGTATAAAGTTTATGACCGTACAAAAACTCGTATATGAATGCTTATTACAGTCTTATTCATAACAGCCCCAAACTGGAAACAATCCATACAGTCATGCATTTATTATCCATGTAGTGGAACACCATTCATCAATGAAAATTAACTTCTAATATTAATCTCAAGTGCATTAGATTAAGTGCAAGGAGGCAGACTGTGATAGTTACGGTCCATGTGATTCCATTTATATGACATTTTGGAAAAGGCTAAATTAAAGAGACAAACAAACCTGATGAGTGGTTTTCAGAGGTTGGGGCTGGGAAAAGTGGTTGACCATAAAGAAGTACCAGAGAATTTTAGAGGGTGATAGAACCATCCTTCATCTTTTTTTTTTTTTTTTTTTTTTTGTGAACCGCGGTCGACTACATGGGAATCCAGCAACATAGCCATTACGCTAATTGCTGGTCCCACCATTCTTTATCTTGATTATGGTGTTGGTTATGCATGCATTTGTCAAGTCTCATAGAACTATACAGCTGGTCTCTAACTTATCATCATTTGATTTATAATTTTTCAGTTTTCTGGTGGTGCAAAAGCATCATACCTTCATTAGAATCCATACCTTTTTATTTTTTTTGGAGAGGTTTTTGCTATAGGGCGCGTGCGCTCACCAGACAGAGAGAGACATAGAGACAGAAAGTGAGAAATCACCCAC